TTTGATATCGAGATAAATGAGTTTTTTAAGCAAAGAAAACCACGGAAACTAAGTTTAATACCTAATATATTTAAAAATATAAATTAATTTACGAGAGCAGGATGTAGTCTTGTGTTTTAGAAGCTGTGCTTTCCATAATCATTGACAACTGATTCTTTACAGCTATATTTTCCAACAATAAATTGGATATGGAACACGGCATATGATTTAATACTTCAACTTGAAATATATTAACTAGATCCAACACACGATTATATAATTCCTTTTTGAATCTATATAGGATACATTAGTCAATACGATATTTATACATAATTTTTCTATAACTTTGCAATAAGGAAACAAAATTTATTTGCTATACCTTTCTCTGTCAATTCTGAATTTACATTTAATTTTACATAAATTTGCTGCTACCTGTTCTTTTTCATTAATTAAGAATTGATTTCTCGTATCTAGTTTTTTTTCCAGAATATGTTGTATGGATTTGTAATCTTCTAAAATATTAGTTTTGGCACCTTAACATATAAAAATTAGAACATTCTAAGTAAATAACATCAAAAGTTATATGAGTAGGCAAACAACAAGGATGTAATGGCCGGAATCCATAGTCCCTTCTTAATCTCAAGCAATGTCTTAAGATGTTAATACGACTCTCTGATTGATTCATGCACTAGCTTAAGACTATTTCGAATCTTGAGCAATGTCTATGGATTCCGTCCAATTCACTGGATTCACTGTGTTACACTGGGTGCATTCAGTACTACAACCGCTCACTGAGCGCTCAGACTGAATACACCCAATAGGTGCATCCAGAAGCACGACCGCTCATTGAGCGCTCAGTGAATTCTTGTACCTGTTTGGTTTATATTTTTAGCTTTAATGGAATATGCCAACCAGATGCAAGAGCTCACTGAGAACTCGGTGAGCGGTCGTGCTTCTGGATGCACCCATTGATTTTTGGTGGAGAAAAACACAAAGGAGTTTAGTGACTTTTAGCGGAAAATATAAAGCTGTCTAGTGGGATTTTGACGACCCGAGTTGGCAACAATAATCGAGGATCTCTCATGAGTCACAAGAATGGCGTCGCCTCGTTTGACTCGAGAATTTCGCGCGGACCGCGCGTCAATCCTATTTTAGTCGCGTGTGTGGGTGAATAAGCTGTCGCAGCACCCGACTCCGACGCTATTTTCGTCGCTTCTGAGTCCTCGTAAGCGAATAGCGGACCGGTGTGAGTGCTTGCGTATGCGCGCGCGAGAGAGGAAGACGGAGGTTAGTTTCGGGCAAAGGAGCTCAGGTTTGTGTGTAACGAAATGTCTCGCGAGCGTCCCGCCCTCCTCCCTTCTTCCCCAGAACGCATCACAGAACAATTTAACGGCCTAGACATGACATCGAGGAATGCGAACACGACAAAAAACTCATATTCGATAGTCGCGACTGTCACATTTTCGTATAGATATGCCCCAACGGTACTCGACATTTTTTCGACTCCGCTCTAGCCAACAAATGCAAATCGGGCTTTTTTTTGCATTGTCAAGCATTCATTTACAAAGAGAATGCTTGTGCTTGAGGAAGAGAGGGGTGAGGAGAATTTAGAAAGGAGTCGGAATGGGAGGGGTCTCTCCCCTTCCCTGACGAGAAGCTATGAGCAGCTGAAAGGAAAATGGTAGACAGCGAATGAGACTTGGACAGACTTGGACTTCTACGGGGGGAGCGGGGATGTTACGGAGTTAGAACGGGGAAGGGGGAATCGAGCGCCGGCGAGCAAATCGTATATGTCAGACTCGTGGCAGAGGGGTCAGCGCGAGGGAAAGAACGATACGAAATCGAACGTTTTCTGGGCTTAGCGGGTACGTTTTCGTATTGGGTTGTCGGATCTCGTTGCACTTCTCTCCCTTTCTTTCTCCCTCTGCCGATCCGAAGATAATCTCTCGCTCACAATCCCCCCCCTCCTCTGAATTCACCTTTCCGTTCTTTAGTCATCGCTCTCGTTACTCCCTTGGTTTTATCATTTTTTCCTTCTCTCTTCTCCCTCTATTTTTTTTTTTTTTATCTAAAATCCTTTCCTACTCTTCGGTATATGCGTCGGCGACGTCGCCGTCATCGTATAAACGAACGTACACATATCGATCTTTGATCGAGCGTTTCTCTCAGCCGTTTCGGAAGAAAGAAGCGTTTGCAGCTTTTTCCCGGGTTCTTTCCCGTTTTTCCTTCTCTCTGTCTCTTTTCCTCCCCCCCCCTCTCTCTCTCTCTCGCACACCAGCCGCCAAATCTTTCTTCCATTGTAACGAGACAAACTTAACAAAGTTGTGTGACATCAAGTTTTTGGCGTTTGAAGGAACGTGAGACACGCGCACACAAGCGGGCAGGATGAACGACATGGAGGCCTACGGGGATGGATACATGGCACCCGAGGAAGAATGGGAGAGGGAGGGTCTCTTGGATCCCGCTTGGGAGAAGCAGCAAAAAAAGGTAAGTGTTATCATAATCGAGATTTTTTTTCCTTTTTTCCCTCTTTATTTTTCTTTCGCTCCTCTTTCCTTTGCCTTGAGACTTTGAGAGTCTTGTCGGATCTAGCCTAGGATTACCAACCGTACTTTTTTTTAAATAAATACACGTGGACATTTACACTTTTTGTACTCTTTTTAAACGTCCCAAAACGTCTGGTCATTAATTAGAATTTTATATTTATAAAATTATATTAATAAAAATATAATTGTCAATAAAAATTATATTTTAGAAATTTTATTTTATTAAATACCTACATTTAATGCAGAAAAAAAATTGTATCCCCTTTTTTCATTCTCGAATTATCTTTTTTTAAAATGATGTACTCCTATGATTCAGACGTGGTAATCCTAGTCTAGCTACATCAGCCTGTGTTGTTTCCCAAATCGGACCGTGCCACCGACTGTAAATTCATCCATCTCGCACCTTTTTATGTTATATTTTTGTAGGAGTAACTCTCGGTTTACGCAAAGAGCAGTCACATAACCTGTCATCGAATTGTACAAACAAATTTATCTGTTTCTTTTTCACTTTTTAACTCTTAGGAGAAGATCGAGACGATTGATCCTAGCAAAAATCTAAACTCATTAAGCTCCTAATTAGGGAGAGTAACAGAAATTTCGAAGAAAATATCTTAGATTTGTTTTATTCAGTTTCACACCTTACCACAAAATATAATACATTCTAACCATAGATAATACCAAGATCCAGTATGTACATCTGTACCCTTCAAAAGAGAAAGAGAGAGAGAAAGAGAGAACATTAGGTCAATTTTTTCCTTTATCTGACACAAGCCAGCTGTCTATTGTAAAGAACAGAAAAAGGCTGAGTATTTGGTCTCTCGGAATCCAACACCATGCACTAAGATCTATCCAGACGAACTTCTATAAATGTATACATAAAAAAAATTAGTCAATTGTATTCTACGTGCACTTTCATAATAGAAATGCAATTGAATGATTTTCTTTATGCATATCTCTAAGAGTATACATGGCATAAGTATGTCTTATATCTATATGGCATGTAGGTCTTTCTTTTTATATTATAGAAACGTCTCGGGGAGTCAAAAAAAGAATTTAAGAGCTTACAAAAGTAGCTAAAGAATTGAATAATAGTATCAAGGAGTCATTGATATTCTCTTTTACCAAAAGTAACTTACATAAGAATAAAACAATGTTCGAGCTCAAAAATCAATTGTTTTAGATTACTAATCTTATCTTAAGAACTTGAATAATAAATGATATCTGCATCGAAAAGTAATTCGAATATCATAATATCATAACGATAACACTTCGTTTTTGTACATTCATAATAAATCCCTCATTATTTCACGAATAGAAAATAAAATAAATTTATTTTATCGTTTTGCTAAAAGTTTGTGTTATTAAAAAGATGATGTGTTTATTGGAAATTAACTTATCAATATTGACATATCATGTGATAGATTATGATTGAATTGTAAAGTAAGCCTTAGAAATTGAAAAGCGAAATGTAGTACAACTTAACAATTTAATTACATGTGCTACTAATATATGCCACAAACGTAGCACATAGATTGTATATTAATATATTATACTTTTATAAATGCATTTCAATTACATGATTTTCTAAATGTAATTTAAACGCTAGATAAGATTACATTTCTCTTGCATATGCTTATCTCACATCTAAAATATTATTTTCGAAGAAAGCTAATAAATATTAAAAATCCTTCAAGTAATTTTCACGTTTTGTTAAAACTCACATAACATTCATATCGGGAATGTTTAAACAAAAATTGTCAATTAATTGTAGGTAGGAGAAAGACAACGGAAATATGACTTATCTGATTTTAGGTTCGATTTCTTATTACTAGACATAACAGGCACGCGCTACTGAGCTTTTACTATTACTTATATACAAATATGTATATAATATTTATTAATCGATTGCATTTAACCTTCGATACACGTAACCGCGCGATCTCCTATGACAGCCGCTTACGACACGAAGTTACGCACGCGATACGATCGAGCTCTTTCTCTCTCTCTCTCTCTCTCTCTCTCTCTCTCTCAAAAATTGTTTTTCTAGCTATGATTGACTAACTCATTAAACTGGTGTTGTTTTGTTGATGGTTTTATAGTGATAACTTTAAGTTACTATAAAACTATTAGTTCGGTGATTAACCATGGCTAGAAAAATATATTATCATCAGGTTAAGTATAATCATAAGTTAACGAGAAAATAAAAAACCTGGCCTTAAAGTGAACTTCGAGCTTTTCGCAAACATCTTTTTTTCTTTTTTTTGACAGTTCTCGCTTCACAACTTTTTTCGTACATTCATAGATCTATTCATTTGGATCTATTCATAATATCTATACGTACATTTGACGGAGCCATTAGATACTGATAAATTGGATTATTCTCGAGTATGCATTTGCAAATGTTTTCTTCATTTTTGGCAGGAGCTCAAGGCTCTCCCGGAGCCCCCACCTCTTCTCATATATCGACCGCAGCCCTTTGAATTGTATTTTCAGACTTTATGACAAAAATAATCAAGAGCGCAATGAGTCATACTCGTGATTTTCACGATGACTCGTAGCCGTTCCCCTTCGCATCGACGAAGCCGTTCCTCTTTCTCGTTATCTTTTTTTCCCTCCTCAGTCCGACGCGACGTGCCTGGTCGCGTTAAGTGACAGCGATATCAAGTCGGGTATTAGTTAAGTCGATACTGATAATAACGGTTACGCACCATACGTCAATAAAACGTAACGCGTCCCTGAGAGATCGACACCGCGTCGTACCTAGGGTTGCTAGGTGTCTAAATTATCGAATATTTTCTCTTTGGAATTAAAATTTAACTGGACAAAATCAGACAGAAGTAGTAATCATAAAAACTAGATACAAAATTTAGTAAAAAAATTAAACTTACATCACGATATTATTTTCCAAACAATATTAAAAACAGAATTTGGTTGAATAAAATAATAAATTACTATTATTTAATAATAAAATACATATTGAACACAAAATTAAACTATGTTTTATACATATGACATTTAACATTTTTTATAAATATATTTTGTTAAAACATTTAATAAGTGTATTAGCAACATGTTAAAATAAAAAACATTACTATTACGTTAAGTAATAAAAGTATTTTAGCAAAAAAGAAATTAGGATCGCTAAAAACCGCGAATTCCGTTTATAAATTTTCTTTCAGAATGTAAATTTTATTTTATTAATTGGGTATATTTAAAAATCAGACATATAAGTTAGGTTTGACTTGTCAACCGGATACCTTTGGTTGTAATAGTTTCTGCTTCTCTGTAATATTTCTTTGGAGGTCGATACGGGTCAACCGGATATCGGACAAGACTCCATGAAAACCGGACAGTTGGCAACCCTAGTTGCGCCGCGAATATTTTTCGTAATACTTCTAATTTTAGAAATCCGCGTACCCCGTTCCGGAAACGCGCGCGGCCCAAAAACCTGCATTTACCGAGACCTCATGTCGCTGCGAAAATTCGTATCGTTCGTCGAACCGCGCGAACGTATCGAACGTTTATTCATGTTTCGCTGAAAAGCTTACGCAAAGTTTCCTCATTTCGAATAATGTTTTATGACGGCAATGCGATTTCACAAACTCAAAGCGGAAGGAAGGAAATGTGAGAGGCATAAAAACAATGAAAGCCGTACTCTTCAATTTCTTCCTCTTTTATTCTTTTCATTTTTTTAACAAGAAGTTGTCTGTGACCAATAAATTAATTAACAATTCAAGCAACTCATAATTTGCATATTTAGACTTTCTTTCTCGTTTGTAGAAATATGAAATATTATTCACATATAGTGAATAAAAAATATAAAAATTACTAAATTTTTTTTTATCTACGAGTCGTAAACGATAACACTTTAAGATAACGTTGGTTGCGCTCATTCTAAATTATCGACTTGACGAGTTTGTATCAATTAATTACGTTTATCTATTATTAATTGAAATTAGTCAAAGAATATGTTGATTGAAATACTAGACTATTACGTCTTATGTATTTTATTTGTTTTACAAATAAATAAATTCTATTCCTTACTTACATCAGAACATATTATCCTTTGTTTATTTTAATTTTTAATTGAAATGCTTAATATAGTTTAAAAAAATCATTATACATGATAATTCATTGCAATATAATTCGCAAAAGTTTTATAAGATCCGACGAAGGACGTACGACAAGAATTTAAGGTGAGAGTCATACGCCTGCGTTCATATCTTATCGCGAATATCTGTACATTTACTTGAATATATATATATATGTATATATATATATCCATGCGATGTGAGAAAATTGAGAAACCCGCCACGGTGGTATTATGTTACATTCGTTTGAATCTGGTTCGTACGTCTATCTGGAATTGATAGAATACGACCAGGGCATACCAATTAACAGTACGGGTTAAATACGCTAACACGTAGGAGGAAGCGGACATTGTACGACACGCATCGGCCGATTAACTGTACAGGAGAATTTCTCATAAAATCACCGGTCATCACATCACCGAGGCTGCTCCAAGCGTGCCGACCGCGCATGAAACATTCCTGCGATAGGAATTTTTTTTTCCTTTGACGACGTATTTACTTAAATGGCTTGCTCGAAACAGCTGCTCGGTGAGCTTTCAGGCCGCACGACTCGATCTATTCCGTTAATATTCATTGCCCTGCTCCCTTCGTGCCCTTGATTTTCTGATTGCTGTACATCTGAAATAGACAAAATGTTTAGACTTTTCATGCTCTTCTTTTCTCTAATTGAATATAAATAACACTATCTCATTCTAAAATTAAAATGAATAAAATCTCATTTGTATAAGACCTTGAATATATATATATTAAAAATATTAAATTATTTATTTATACATATTAAAAAAAATTATTTTTTTGAAACGTTCAATTGCTGAATGATATTAAACTGAATATTTGTAAATGTTTTCAA